GCGATAATGTGCCCGAAATAGGAGACTGATTTGAGTTAACTGTAGTAAAGCTTATCGCCGGTTTTTCATTTTATCAAAGCTGATTCCGTCAACTGCCTTTGAAAGCAGGCTTTCCTAATCTATACAGCCTATCCCCGAGGTATACATAATTTATTTGCTATCTACATGTAGGTGCGAGATTTGAGTAATCTATTTGGCACACATTCGGAATAACAGACCGCAGCCGCAGCTGCCGTCAGATTCGGAAGTTGGCGGGTAGACGCAGATCTTGTACGCATGTAAATATCTGACATGTCTGGCTTGAAGGTGTTGGAATTTATTCGTTTATTAAAATCTTATTTGGTCAAATTTGCTCACAATTGCAACTTTAGCATTTTGATGTCATTTCTCCGGTTGATATATGCTGAATTTCCAGCAAGGTTTCTTCTAGCAATCTACATTAGTTGTCCTATATTACAACACGTTATTTAAAATTTTGAGACACTCTTAACCGCGAAGGAATCAAGTAAAAACCGTGCAACCTAGTCCTATGTTAATTATTTTCCTCAGGATACCTGCTTATAAAAGGACTTTTTCTGGTTGCCTCAAAAATGACTGTTTATGTAGCGTGACTTTTCTATTGATTTCTGATTTCCCTTTAAATCCATATATATTGCACAGAAAAAGTCCATGAAATATTTATTTTTTAATCGATTGTTATCAAATTAAGCCGTTTCTATGTTTAGTACTCGAAGGATCCTAAAAATTCGATTTTGCAAATTATTTTATTTATGAGACTTTTTAAGACAAGTGCAATGCATGCTTGCAAAACCCCATGTCTCTGCATTAACTAACGTTTCTTGTAATTTTTACAATATTGCCAAATGCTCAGCTAAATTTTACGAGCTTCATATGGACTCCACGTCATACCGCGGAGAGATTTATGGTTTACCGTACACGGAAATTGCTCAAACTTGCAGTTCTAGAACCATGAATGCAAGTGTAACGGAATTTCAGATTTAAAATTATTTCAGATTTCAAAAGCATTTTTTAAAACAGAGATTTGTCCTTCGTCAAAGTATACTTAATGAGATAGGTATTATTTTCTTTAAAAAGCTAGAAGAATGAACATTTATATGCATGTTTTTTACGAAAAATATTCAAACTCATAAAGGCATCTAAGAAACACCCGTACTGCATTTGTGGATATTTTTGCAAAAGGTAGCTTCTGCAGGCGGGCGAAATGAAGTTTTTCCAAAAGCCGGCATCCTGAAGTAGCTGAATTATTGTGGAATAATGTTGCACAGTGATTCAACCCTACTTAAGAATTTTTTTGAATTAGATAACTGATTTGAGAAATTCACTTAACATTTCATTTCTTATCACAACGTTGTACGTGTGCTTCTTTTACGGTAGAAATAATTCATCATAGGAGGTATTATTTATCGTAGCAATTTCTTCGTCCTCTTCCCGCCTATTTGAGTATACATACACACTATGGATCCACCCTGTCTTCATTCAACTAAAATGCACTCACGAAAGAGCATTTTAGACGCTGGGTACTATGCTTGGCGCAAGAGCATTTTCGTTGGTGCTAATATTTGGCCTGCTTTATCTTACGACAAGCACCAATACGGCAGGCAGGAAAGTTGACAACTATCGGACATTGTGAGCGTTGACAAATGCGGCGTACACAGCGAGGGTGTCGAATATGATGCGTAACAAGCGGTGTGTTGGTAACGCATACACTGTGTAATTATTAAATAAACTAAGACGCAACAGTTACTAGTTGAACTACCGTAATTTCTGCAGGCTCGGCTGAATCACTTGCATCTGGGAAATTACTAATTCTAAACTGCGCCACCCCAGGATAACATGGTTTCCATTTAATTTATGACTTAATTTCGGTGAATGAGATCGATGTAAATTGTCATTTTCAACAGGTATTTATATTGCCCACCGTTTTAGTAGACGTTGTATGCTAGCAGATCTACTACTACCTACTTGAACCTGGAATGAGAATGACGTTTTCTAATATAGAAGGGCATCCCACCAGCAAATGTACCCAGCGTATGCATGTTCTTAATCGCCGAGCTAACGACTTTTTTGGAGTATTTGCGCCTAACACAGAAGATTTTTTACACTCGGCTGTTCATCCATTGCTACTGACAGCTCGTTTTATCTGGGTAGCAGTTCTTACTCATAAATGTAATGGTCAGCACATTCTTTCTATCGTACGGTCGCCTGATAAAGCATATATTGCTGTGTCCGATTCATCGTTGAGAAAATCTTCGCAAACAGAATACTTTCGTAAACTAGCCAACCCAATTTTAAGAGTATCTGCGTAGTATAAGAAATGCTGCAAAGAGCCATACCACGTGATCTGGTTCCGAAAATGTGCACCAGACCACACTATGGACTACTCGAACCTGACATCCTTAAGGATACCATAGAGGCTACGACGGGATGGCAGAACTTCAAATTAGCTTTAAGCCCCCTCCTCATGAAGTCTTCATGACACTCTCGCCTAAGTGAGTCTGGCGACATGTTGAACACTGTCCCCTCAAGAAAAATCCAACCGGAAACAAACCGAAATGGCTGACAACAGCGGTAAAGAAGGAAATCCGAAAAAAACGGAAGCTGTGGAAAATCTTCTTACAAACGGAGAACCCAGAAAAACTTCAGAAATTCAGACAACAACGAACCTTATGCAAAAGACTCATCCGAGAAGTGCGAGCTTCTTATGAAATGAAG